ATGTATGGAACAATACACACTATGTATGGATCAATACACACTATGTATGGATCAATACACACTATGTATGGATCAATACACACTATGTTTGGATCAATACACACTATGTTTGGAACAATAAAGATTTCTAACATTAACTTTATCAACTTGTCTTCTGAAGATGCTCTGTGTTGAAGGATCAGTGGATCTGTGTTCGACTACTCCACCTAGGCTGCACTGTGGAGCACAGATCCACTGAGAAACTTGCTGTTTCATTAACATTTCTTTTAAAAACTAGACTTTTGAGGTTAAACAAATGTTCGTAGTTAATTTTGCTAAATTACAAGTTAAGAAAGGCATGGACATTTCTCTTTTTTGAATCGAAAAGATATTGAACCGTGACATTTAAGTATCAGACCGAATTGTGAATTTTCTGGATCATTGCACCCCTAGTACTTTAGATACTTTGGTATAAGAAAAATACAAACCCTATTTTATACTTTTGCAAATGCAAAAACATGATAAATATTTTTGTTGAACAAAGCAACTTTAAGACATTGTGTATACCTCACACTTTTATTTATTCAACCTTAATTTAACCAGAGCCCATTGAGACATCTCTTTATAGAAAAAGTGATTTGTTTTCCTTCCCTTCACAAATTTATTGGTAAATTATCAACATCTCATAGAAGAAAAAACAAAAGCATCAATAAATAAAAAAAAAATTGAAATTAAATCAAAACTAAAATAAGTAAACTGAGCAAAATAAAAGGACACAAACTTTGATTGATGTCCTGTGCCTGAACACCTCAGAGGACATTTTTCATCGGTCTATCTGTTCATCCGTCTAACGGGATGATTCTCCCTCCTCGGATGTATTAGACTGGATCCTGAGCGAGGAGATGAACTGCTGAGTGTTCATCCTGTCTGCTGACTTTCCAAACACCTTTGGCAGGGACTCAAAGTGCTCAGGAGTTGGCCGGCCCTCATCGTTACACCGAGGACTCGTACCTGCCAGCAGCTTCACTGCTGCCATTATTTGTCACTTCCAAGCAGATATGGAGGCTTAGGTCAGGAGAAGTTCACTCCCTGCACGTTTAAAAGAAACTTGTTGGAGGATCATTAATGACTTGACACGTTAGGTGTTGTTTTATGATGGGGTTTTTTCAGCATCACATTTTCCTGATAATTGAAACTAGGTTCAAGGCTTCAGTCAGGGGAAGAAAAAATAAAATAGTTTGGCTTGTTCCTGTGCTCTGGTGTAAAAATAACGATAATGATAATTGTTTGGGAGTGACAGAACTCGATGACACGCTGGGGGAAGATTGGATGAAAACACTTTGTGCTGTGCAACATGCTGTATTGTTGTATTTAAAGGTAAGTTTTCAAAACAGATTCACTGTTGTTCAAATAATCAATGCATAAACTAACGTTTTGCTGCTGACGTTAATGTCAGTAAAATCAGGGAACTCAGCAGGGAAGTTGTTTCAGACATCTTGGAGAAGAAACCACACAACGTCTGTGGATCTAGATGAACTTAAACCCATTTATGTAGTTTATAAATGATGATCAGAGTTCTGTAGGTGTTAGACCATTACTTCTAGGATTCTTTGAAGGAAACACATATCTTCTTGTTGTTTGGGTTCTTCTTCCTCGTCACCACTGGTGAGGGTTGGAACGTAGACAGACCAGTAATTACTATGGGTGCACCGATTGCAGTTTTCTGGCCGATCTCCGATCACCGATCTTTAAAAGGTCTGACCAGCTGATTCCGATTTTTTAAATAGCTGTTGTCCGATGTTATAAGGTCGCAACACAACTTCATGTTCCAGTGTTATTTTATTGAAATGCATTGAACAATACCCTTGAATCAATTCAAACCTGTTTTAACTGGACATGAGGTTGTGCTCACAACAGAGCGAAAAGGGGACAGTGGCTGATTTTCAGAGCTTTGTGRAAGTAGAGAAGCCGATCTTTTCCACTGATCTGATCTAAGGATCAGACGATCTCCCAAAATTAAGTAAATTGTCTGTCCGATTTCTCAGTGCACCCCTCATCCCTAGTAATTACCTTTCGACTGACCAGCTGAAGCAATGACTGCAACTATCGACCCATTTCCTCCATCCGATCATCACTTTTGAACAAGACTCCAAGATATTTTGAGATTTGGACAGTTTTGAAAGAACTGTTTGTCATCTGAGCAGTTTTTAAGCCCCAGACATTTGGTGCTGTCAGTTGAGACGAGCACGACACCTGCGACAACTGTGTTTGAAAGAAAAGTCATAAAGTTCAAGCAGCACATCTGTGAGCCTCTGAGGAAATCGACAACCCTCATAAATGTTTCGACACATATTAGGGACACCCTCCCAAAGTCTGAACTAGTCCTCCACAGTTGCAGCCTAAGAAGATAAGTCTTTCTGTTTGTTGTTCCAGATCACCTGCTGCCATTTCACCACACCAAGTTTTTGTGTACAGTTGAGTAACTTTGCTTCCACTTGAGAAGTGTTGCTTTTCAACCACAGTTTTTGCATTTCTAACCTGACATTTCTGGGCCATAGGTGGGTGTAGCTGAGTCCCACAGGTTTTGGTCACTCCTGAACTCATGGCCCTGCTGGAAATCTTCTGATTCCAAAGAGAAGCCAGCTTAGTGTGTCTTTTTTATTTCTGCTGCATTGTACTCTACGTCTACGAGCCACAGCACGGCTCGTTTCTTGACCTTGTTGTGTCTGGTCGCTGCGCTCTGTCTTGCCATGACGTCTGACCAGAGACATGAAACTTCCCTCTACAACTTTAGCAGTAGTGTTTGTTTTTCAACCACTTTTAAGTCTTTTATGCTATTTCTGTTTCAAAACCTGACTGACTCCACTATTTTTTTCTCACAAATATTCAAAATATTTTTCTGCTGACAAACCTTGTCAAGTCAAATCATGCAGGTTTATTGTTCCTCAGCTTGTAAACCATCCAAACGATGTAATATAACTCCCAACTAAAACATTTCTGCATGCAACTATAGAGTGAATGTTTGTTTTTGCCTGATGTCGCTCTGATCCCAGCCTGCAGCAATGCAGAAAAGCACAAATATTTATTTGTTGTTTTCTCTTCGTGAGAAACTTAAAGCAAATGTTAATTTGGTCACGATGTGTTGTAATCGTCTGGAGCGGTTGCCACCTTGTCCTGTGAGTAAACTCCATGACACACGGCGAGCGAGGCTGACATGGTGCCATCTGTGTTATGTTTTTTTGCGTGCTCCAGGATCCCTGGCAGGCTCAACGACAGACGCACGCCGCTCGGAGAGCTCAACTGGATCTTCACCGCCATCACCGACACCATTGCATGGAACGTGTTGCCCAGAGGTGAGGCTTTGACACGATTGTAGCTTTTCGGCCATGTTAGCTGTGTTTTTCATTGTTTTAGAAGAGTACAAACAAAGGTATTTGCATTCATGGCACATGGAGATCCACCTGTTTCATGTTTGCTGCTCACTCAGAGCGTCCCAGGAGACAAACTGTATCCCAGTTAGAAAAGCAATGTGACAACGCTGATGGCTGCCAAAGCCTTTTTAAAGCCTCGAGGCTCTGCTGTTAATGAAGCAGTCCACATTAGAGAGGAGTTCTGTAATGAAGATACACACACACACACACACACACACACACACACACACACACACACACACACACACACCACACACCCTTGTACTTTCATCAAACTGAGGACTTTGTATTGAATTCCATTCATTTTTGCAACTTTTATACCTATTTATCCCTGGGTTTGGTATATCATTTATACTTAACCCAGACATGAGTCTATTCTCAGCCCTAATCTTAAAGGGGTGGGTTATGCCAAACATTTTGAGCTTTATATAAATTTATAATGTCATTCCCTCATTATAAACATATGCAGAGTGTTGTTTTGACTCATTCATGCATGTTTTAGAAATCCTTGAATCTCCTGTGGTAGCCATGTGGAGCTGCTTAAACTCTTGCTGGTACAAAGCTCCGCCCATTTGTACATAGCTCCTCCCTGGAGCTCAGTCTGTAGCCAAGCTCCAACCGTACAGAACACCCCTTCCTCGAAGCATTGTTGTGAAGATGTGCTGAAGTGGGAGTGTCTGAAACGGTTGGAGGCGACTATGATGCGAAGTCAAAATTTGTTTTTTGTACATATACAGCATTTTCATAACCACTGAAAGTAACATAGTTACTTGAAAGTGGTAAAGAATTAAATTACGTAATTCCCCCCCTCTTTTTTTAAATAAACTTAATTCACACCATACATCTAAACCTAACTAGTGGAGCGCAGAAGAGCTGCAAAACAAAGTATAGACCAGGAAAATGTCCTTGTTTAGTTGGTTAAAAACAACAGTCCTCACTCTGTTGCAGAAAAAAGTACATACACACAGCTAGGGCTGCTACGATTAATCGACGACTAATCTATTATTAAAATAATCGATGACTAATTTAATAATCGATTAATCGTTTTCTTTTTCTTTTTTTGTTCTTTACTTTGTTTTTCTCTCCAAACTGCTTTGACACCTTCCACTGCCACATCTACCTTTCTGTCCTTGACACACATGCACAGTAGTGGTAACTGGGGTAGGCCGTGGACGTCACAARACATTATACAGACAGGCTCTGGTATCATGGCTACCTGACAACAGAGCTCAAAGTGTGGGATCATTTTAAGAAAATGAAAGAGAAACCTGTGTAATATCTGCAGAGCAGAACTTACCTTCCACAGCAATTATTTTTAGTTAGCATATAGCTAAAATTTAACCATGGTTATATAATAGCAGCTGCATTCTGGCACGATAAGCTGTATGTTTTATATTCAATTAACATATGATCCGATTAGTCGACTAATCGAAAAAATAATCGGTGATTAATCGATTATAAAAATAATCGGTTGTGGCAGCCCTACACACAGCAGCTGTACACTCTGTCCCTTTCTGAAAGAAAAAAATCCCGGCACATAAACAGTGAAATTCTAATTATAAGCCAGAAGAGTGGCAGGGGATTGACTGGGAAATGACTGAATACATTAAAGAGATAGTGTCAGACTCAGATTTTACTGTCCTCTAGGTCCAACATAGAACAATGTCTGTTGTTCTTTAAACTGCACACTTCAGTCTAATTATCTCTAAAAGACAATAATGTTTTTAGTTGGTTTGGTTTGTCTCTACTTTAGCAAAATATCTAATGAACCACTGCAGAAATTTGATAAAAAAAACTCCCACAAAGTAAACCCTGGATGTTCACCACTTCGTAATATTTGGAGTCAACAGAATTAAAGATGGCCGCCACATAAAATGGGTTGTAGCCCAGCCAATTTTAAAGAAACTGAGCTCAAATTGGTGAGGTTGTACCTGTGACTTGTATAACAGAAAATACTCTAAAAGATCAAAAGATCTGTTTTGAAAATTTATTTGTCTGTCTGTTAGCAAAATGTCCCGTGAACCAATGAACAGATTTAAAAACATACAGAAATCATTATAATTTATGATCTTTTAAGATAACCATTAGTCAGTATTAACCAACATAAAACTGGCTACATTTACAGATACTGAGCTACATGATATATGTTTTTAATTTAGTCTTTTATTTATTGAGTTGTTGCAGTTKTATCTCATCATAAGATGATCTTAGTTTAAAACCTTTGCTCGTATCTGAGCTATTTATTTAGGACCCATCAGGTGTCCCATTTTCCTGTCTTATATTTATATTCTTCAGGTAATTTTATTCGCTCTGTGTCCTGTTTCTGCCCGCACCCTGACTGATCATGTCTATTTTCCYTCCTCCTCCTTCAGATCTGTTCCAGAAGTTGTTTCGTCAGGACTTGCTGGTGGCCAGCTTGTTCCGTAACTTCCTGCTAGCCGAGAGGATAATGAGGTCGTACAACTGTACTCCAGTCAGTAGCCCCCGTCTGCCCCCCACCTACATGCACGCCATGTGGTAAGATGCACACACGCAGCTGTTGATGGGTTTTAGCAGGAAAACACAGCGTCGGCCTCAATGCCCTGCTGTTTGCTCATACATAAAGCAATTAGGGGTCAAACAGAATTTCTAACAGGTTTATTTTTTTATTAGAAAAGGGACAGTGGTCTCTGTTTTATGTTATGGTATGCATATTTAATGAAAGCAAATGGTTGGTTTTAAAAAAAGGCCACTTGGAGATTGGAAATGGACAAATTAGCCCGAGGGGTTCTTTTGTTCAAATGATACAGCTTGTTAAGTTGACAAAAACTGCTTGCTGAAACTTTTCTGTTTGGTTTCTATTCGTAATCCATTATTAAAAAAAAAAAAAACTTTTTCACAGTGGGATGTTTTAGGAGAGTTTTTACTCTGCTTTATTTTGTGCCTGGTTCATGTTTTTGTCTAAAATTAGCCTKGCATTGCACAGAATCTACAAACACAATCTTAGTAAATCACAAAAGTTAACCTCAAGTGTCCATGAAGCCGTTTGTTCCACAAAATTTACATTAATCAATATAAACGCTCCCATCATGACAGGAATATGAGTTATTAGTGTTTATAGTGCTTTTCCAGAGTTTTAGTTTTGTTACTGATGATGCTACCAAAGTGGCCGAAACAGTACATGAACTGTTAGTAACAAGCCTACACAAAAACAGCTAAAACTCAGCTGATTTTACAGATGCTAAGCTAATGTTTGCTGTGCTACATGTTTTACAAAATTTTTTGTTCAAAACTTTGGTAACTGTTTTTCTACAGGTCACAATTTGTCTTTCCTCCAAAAAATCCATCCATCTATCAGTCCATCTTTTCATCCATTCATTCATCAATCTATCCATCTTTTCATCCATTCATTTATACATATGTCCATCCATGCATACTTTTAGTCCATTAGTCCATTCATCTGTCCATCCCTTTATCTATTCATTTATTCATTTGTCCATCCTTTTGTCCATCCATCCATTTACCTACCATCCATCCTTTTGTCCATTCATTATTTCAATTTTACATCTGTCCATTCTTCCATTCATTTATACATCCGTCCATCCATCCAACCGTCCCTCCAACCTTTCATCCATTCATTTATAAATTTGTCCATCCATGCATCCTTTTGTCCATTCATTCATCCATTCATTTATCCATCCAACCATTTTCCTTCCATCCATCCATTCATCCATCCATCCATCCATTCATCCATCCATCCATCCATTCATCCATCCATCCATCCATTCATCCATCCATCCATCCATTCATCCATCCATTCATTCAATCTTTTATTCATTTGTTCATCCATCCATTCTTTTCTCCATCCTTCTGTCCATGTATCCATTCATCCTTTCATCCATCCATTCATCTATCTTTACATCCTTTCATTTTCATTAATCCGTCCATCTATTTACCATTCATCCTTTCTCCAGTGATCACATGTGAGAACCGAGGGACACCATGGACATGTCTCTGGTCCATAACAGGGACACATAAAGGCATCCCCGCACCTTCCATCCCCACATCTTCCATCCCTACACCTTCCATCCATCCCCACAGCTTCCATCCCCACAGCTTCCATCCATCCCCGCATCTTCCATCCCTACACCTTCCATCCATCCTCACAGCTTCCATCCCCACAGCTTCCATCCCTACACCTTCCATCCCTACACCTTCCATCCATCCCCACATCTTCCATCCCTACACCTTCCATCCATCCCCACAGCTTCCATCCCTACACCTTCCATCCATCCCCACATCTTCCATCCCCACATCTTCCATCCCCAGTTTTCTGACTCTCACCAAAGTGACTCTTGCCAAGGTGTTACCAAAGATCAATACCTGGACATGAGCCGTGTCTTTGTACTCATTGTTCCCACAGAGCTGTCAGAACACGTGTTTAAATGTACAGCAGGTCACAGCACAGTCAGAGAGAATGTAAATAAACACTTATTGTGCCCATTTTATATTCCTGAATCACCTCACAGCTTCTCAAAATAAAAAGTGTAGAGGAGGTTTGATCTCGCACGTGTAGGTGTTTTTATATGTTTCTACCTTCAAACATATGAATCCTCCTCAGGCTTGTTCCTTATATACTCTACAGTTTTTATTTTTGCTGTAAAAACTTTCTTTTCTTCTACCGTTTTTCATTCCTCTTATTTTAGATTGTGGGCACTTTTCAGCGTTAACCACCCAAGAAAGTTAGATCACATGCAGTATTAAGCAGGACAAAGTAAAAACAAAGAAGTGCTTTAGGAGTTCAAGCAACAAAGCAGAGAGGGTAGTAAATGCTGGAGATAAAAGGCAAATGGGAAAATCAAAGTTTGGAGCATCTTCGATGGGAACAGTGAGGACGGAGTGGGGTAATAAGTGATTTTAGGGCTCGTTGATTGATTTCAGGCTCCAACACAAACAGCTACTGTTATTCAAATGGAGCAGAATAAGGCAGGAGAAATAAAGCCGAGGGTGATTACTCCCCGAGGGCTCTTTCAGTGTCAGTGGAGTCTGTTTTATATGTGGACTTGTTGCTGCGCCACTCTCTGCAGGAAACTGGAGAAAAGAGCTTAGTCAGCCGCCAAATGGTCTCCCTGCACGGTCCAATTCTCAGCTGCTGTCCTCGATTCACACACCAAACACGCGTTAAGGAGATGAGTCACTCTCAGGCGAGTTAACGCTGCCGTGTAGCGAACCTCCACCCCGAGAGCGCGTCCTCCGCCTTGAAGCTGCTTGCCGATGGGTTACATAAAACCCAGCAGAAATGAATATGAGCTGGCAGGATTTATTGCACAGATTCCAACCATCCTCTTTTCAAAAAAATTACCAATAATTAACATTTTGTTGCCTGATTTGGTGAAAAATGAAAAACTAATGGACACTATGATATAAAATTTCACTTTGAGTTTTTCCTCTTTTTAAGCCACACTTATTTTTTGCCAGTTTATTGATTTTTCTMAATTAAATTAAAGTCTAAAATGTAAACTATATATGTGACCCGTGACATCAGACTGAGGATTAAGTCAAATTTGGTCAAAATGATCCCAGCACATTTTTCGATTCCTACTTTTTGGTCTTCGTGATCATGAATTAGTGGCCATAACATCCTGTAAACGCCAGAGCTTGTCTGATCTTGGAAGCTAAGCAGGGTCGGGCCTGGTTGGTACTCAGATGGGAGACTACGTAGGAATACCAGGTGCTGTAAAACCAATGTAGGAGTTGCACCCAGATTGGAGCATTAGCAAGAAAAAACCTTTGAACATAACAGGTCATAGGTTGCCTTCTATGAAGGGTGACAAAAACACATTAAGGTAATTCAATGATATTTGGTCTGAATCCTATTTTATATATTATATATTCCTATTGATTATATTTTAGACAAAATGTAATTATTGCAAACATTTTAGTCAATGTATTATAGTGGCCTATCTACGTTATATTTTTGTACAACTTTGGCCTTTTTTTGACGGGTTGCCTTCATTTTTGCCTTCTACTTTTCGTTTTAAATAAGTTTCCATTCTCGGTCGGTAGCTAAGGTTCTTTTTCTTCGTATTAAAACATTTTAAACAGCTGAGTGGTGCATTACCGCTACTAGTGGTGACAAAGTATATTGCACCCYATTGTGGTCCCATGGCCCTCTGCGGCCCAAAGTCAAAAACTGTTGTTCTTTTGAGGCCCTCAAGGTGGCGCTCGCTGCCCACGATTGGGCCGCAGTCCATGGGTTAAGAATCTCTGGCCTATACCACCTACCACTATGGAACTTTGGTTCACTGTGATTGGTCATATTGTGCCATCAGTTAGTCCTCAGAGTGTGTTGACTATGATTCTCAACTACTACTACCACGCTACATTTTAGCTGAATATCTATCAAATTAACCGAGTTATAGCCATTTTGTGTTGGCTTATGTTGACAGTAGAGTTGGATTAGTTAACATCTTATGAAATGGACTCTCGGCTGCTACCAAATCAAACTTTAGCTCAATATTTGTTAAATTGACTTTGTTACAACCATTTTGAGTTGTCTGTGTAGATAAATTACATTTTTTATTTTAACAAACATATAAAACAGAAATTGAACAAAGAGCCACTTATTGAGAATATGATGTGACAGTTTCACAAACATGCATATACATTTATTATTTAGTCCTCATTCTGCATTTAAACTCTTATAGAAGGTCCATTTTTCTAATTTTCTCCGCAACTGGGCTTATCGTAGCCTCAGTATGTGTCAATTTTTCCATCAGAAATATTTCTTCTATAATTGTTGTCCATTGAGCTTTCGTTGGCGCAAAAATTACTTTTTGAACATTTAAATATTATCTGTCCTGCTAATAAATACAAGCTCAGACAGGCAAAAACAGCATTGCCCTCCTGTTTATATCTGGCAACAAATATCCTAAGTCATAAATGTCCTTAACACTATGAACACATCTGATAATAAAGGATCCTTTGTGGAGCAAAAGATGCAACTACATCCCTGATTAGATTCTCTTTAATGTGGTTAAATGTGAATTTAGACAAATATAATAAACCTGAATGCTGTGAGAAGTATTCCTGTCCCTTGTTAATGTTCAGCAGCCATTAATAGTGCTAAAATTATTCTGACATTACATGTGAACAATGTGAAATAAGCATATTATTGAGTATTTTTGCTGCTGTCGACATTGTGGTTTTAATAAGGTCTAGTTTGTCTCAGGTAAGATAAAAATAGCTGCATGGTAACTGACACCTGCTCTTAACGTTGCAGTCAGAGAGCTGTATTTGTCGATGTTTTCCACCACTGTATGTTTTCATGTTGCACATTCATCAGTGAGTCCATTATATCTTTAGCACTGTGCTGTCGACCTGCAGTGCAACTCTATTATATCACTCTTGGATAATGGGAAAAGCCATTTAGGCAGCAGAAAGAGTCTCAGACTGAGTGAACTTGGCGTCGCTCATTCAGCATCACATTACATTGCTGTGCATCGACTGGGAACATGAATCAACCCGTAACTCGCGCTAACCGAGAGGAAAAAGCCCCGGCGAGGCTCAGAGTTCAATTTGCTGCGAGGGGAGAAAAAAAGAGGGAGYGGGAAGAAGGAGGCTGAGAAGAGAGACGGGTAAAAAGAGAAGCTGTGATAAGGTTTGATGTGAGTTGCATAACCCCATGAATTAGAAATGATGACCATGGAAGGAGAGCCAGCATTTAGAGGGGGATTAAAGACTCATCACTGCCCTCTCCAGGACCTGGAGAGGGGAATCTCATGAGGCAAACATGCTTGGAGTGTGATCTGAGGGAAACGATTTGGAACACAGTGGAGAAAAACCAAAGTGTTGGAATCAGTTTAAATCTATTTATTGTTTGTTGAAGAACAAATCATAGCTACAGTAAGATGCTGTAATCTGAATCTTACCTTTCTGCAGTGTTCCCACCTCTTTTTTAGAAAACAACCCTTCATTTCAATGAGTTCAGTAGAGACAAAAGATGTGAATAACCAGGAAGGCTCAATATTTTAGTTTGTGCTGACTTTAGGGGCTCTTCCTCAGACTGTATGATGTCATTCTAACCTTGTTTTTCTCTGTGTTGCCTCTCTGCAGGCAGGCCTGGGACTTGGCCGTGGAYATCTGCCTCTCTCAGCTGCCCACCATCATTGAAGAGGGCACCGCCTTCAGAGTAAGGGTGTGAGAAATACCACAAGGCTGACAGTATTTAGATGTTTTATTTTTTAGTGGGGGTTGGGGTGTGGGTTACAGAACATCAAACTTTGATGGATGGCTTCTGTCTGCCTCTGATGTCTGAAAACACCAAACGGTTCTTGTTTTCTCTGCAGCTTCGCCTCCGTTTATCAGCACCACCTCTGATAATTACTCAGACACACACCTTCCCGGGGGATAACTGTAAAATGTCAGATCTTATCACTCAAGTGTGAGCGTCAAATCTAAAATACCCCTGGCCGTGCACTTTCAGCTGCCGCTCTGGTTATTGTTATATTTACAGACAGAGATGCTGAACGAAGCTCATCCTGCTGACGATCTGTTCGTAAACCTTAATCAACACATTTCTGCACTCGATTCAGCCGACAGAACTGAGAGCAGCAACATGTGCTCAGTTCTGCAAAGTAATCAGGAAACTTTGCTGCTTTGATCTAGGCCTTTTCCTTCGTCCACCTGGACCTCCGGAGGAGAGCATCTTGTCCATCGGCCCCCCAGGGGTCGTTTTTCTTCCTCACTTTCCTCTGCACTGAGGATGGAAACACTTACCGGCACTATAATTAAGCCTCTGAGGACTGCTAAAGAAGAGCTTTCTGTTCCTCTTTCAGGAGCCTTTAATTCCTGTCGGACGTGTTTCAGCCGTGTGCGTTATTTACAGGAACTTTGTTACGGCTAAACGTTGGCCTGCAGGAAATACATCTGTGATGAAGTCTACCAATCACCACTTCAAAAGCTCTAACTTGGTCATATTTACTGACATTGAGCTAAAATTTGTGGTAGAAGCTAAGAGTCACCCTCAACACATCATTAACTCCATCTCCATGCATCRCAGTAACAATTAGCCCTTCAGCTTTGCTAATGCTACCACTACGTTACAAACAACGAGCCGTTGTTGATCAGGACACACAGAGCATCTTGGTTCCTTTGGGTTGAGCCATGCATCTGTTGGTGTTGTTTCAAAATTAGGAGTGCATCACTGCGAAACCACCGGTGAATGAGTTGCTCTTGAAATTCTAAATGGTGTTGCAGTTGTTTTAAAGAGGATCTGTTATGGTTCCTTGAACATGTTAGGTTACATCTGTGGGCGATAAAAACGTGTTCATTAGATTTAAAACACAAAATCATTTTCAGGTGAGATTTCACCTGATCAGTTCTGCCTGTTCTGAGCTCCTTTCAGAACGAGCTGTTTATGCAAATAAGCTGCTGYTGGCAACACCCTCTCAACCGTTTGTTTACATTAGCTCCGCCCTCCCAACATTTTGTTTACATTAGCTCCGCCCCCCCAACATTTTGTTTGTTAGCTCCACCCTCTCAACATTTTGTTTACATTAGCTCCGCCCTCCCAAAATTTTGTTTACATTAGCTCCCCCCCCCTACATTTTGTTTACATTAGCTCCACCCTCCCAACATTTTGCTTATATTAGTTCTGCCCTCCCAACATTTTGTTTACGGTAGCTCCACCCTCCCAACATTTTGTTTACATTAGCTTCACCCTCCCAACTTTTTGTTCTCATTAGCTCCACCCTCCAAACATTTTGTTTACATTAGCTCTGCCCTCCCAACATTTTGTTTACATTAGCTCTGCCCTCCCAGCATTTTGTTTACATTAGCTCCGCCCTCCCAGCATTTTGTTTACATTAGCTCCGCCCTCCCAGCATTTTGTTTACATTAGCTCTGCTCTCCCAACATTTTGTTTACATTAGCTCTGCCCTCCCAACATTTTGTTTACATTAGCTCTGCCCAGAAAATAAAATTAAGCCACTGATCTCTGTTATCCATGACTTGTCAAAACAGCAGAGCTAACATGGTTGTTCTGTAAATAAGTGGGCGGAGTCTCCGCTTGGGTTATCAGGTAAGTGCTGGGCTCACCTTGGCGTTGCATTTTTACCCTGATTGTGACATAACAATCTGCAGGTTTTTGAAACAGCTCATTTGCCGACACTAACAAAACAGCTGGGAGTTTCTTTTTTGTGCGTGGACTGTTTCTAGAAGCAGTAAAACCCAAAGTGAAGAATAAAAACAGGCCCCCTTTAACAGCACCATCTTTGTTTGTGGGTCTGTGCTCTGTCCCGCCCCCGTCATGTCTGTCCAATAGGAGCAATGATTGTAACCCACGTGGTTTTGTTTATAAATTAGTTCACTTGCATAAAAGCACCATGTGAATGCAAACCACACCAAACGAATAGAACAAAGTCCGCATTTGTTCCGGACCAAACAAGTGAACAAAAGGACATTCCTGGTGTGAATACAGCCTTAGCTGGCATTTCCCACCACTTCACCTGTCGGTGAACGCAGCGTTCTGATAACTCCTGCTGTAATTTCAAACAACCTGCTGGCAGCAGCCAATCAGGAAGCCCTCTGGTGGCAGGGAGGAGGGAAGCTGATGATGATGGATCAGGATTTATGTTGTTACTGCAGTGCAGTGTCACCTCTCAGCTCATTATGTTGGGCCTTTTATAAACTGATGAGCTCATTGCTGCAGATTGTCTGTGTCTGTGTGTGTGTGTGTGTGTGTGTGTGTGTGTGTGTG